GCGGCGGCGCCGGGCGGCGGCAGGCGGTAGGTGCGCACCAGCAGCGAGTAGTCCATCAAATTGTGCCTCCGGAGGAAGGCGGCGTCCGACTCGAGCCTCGCGCACATCCACGCGCACGCGGGCGCCGTGAGCGGAAAGCGCACGTCGCGCGCGTGCTGCTTCCCCGCCGCGTACTGCCGCCGGCCCGGCGCCCACGCGTCCGCCGCGACGTCCGCCGCCGCCGCGAGCGGACGGCAGCACTTCCGCGACGCCAGGTCGCACACCCGCATGCCCACATTAAAAAATCGCTTGTGCACGTCGCGCCGCTTCTCGCCCTCGTACAGCAGCGTCTTGTCGTCGGCGGTGCCCTTGAGGTCGTAGACGCTCGGCGCACTCGCGGCGGCCACCGCCGCCACGGGCGCCGGCAGCACCGAGCCCATGGCCACGTAGTGCACTCCGGTGGACGGCCGGTGAAAGTGAGCGAAAAAGGGCGCGAGCAGCGTGTCCCTGTGGCGAGTGGCGTGCACCACGTACGCGGGCGCGAGCCGGAGCAGCGCCTCGTGGTCCGACGGCGACAGCTCCTTCACCACGAAGGCTTTGCCGCGGCACTTGTGAAAGGCGAGCAACGTGCCTCCTTTCCCTCCGCCGGCCGCCAGCGCGGCCCAGTCAAAGCCGTCGAGGAAGTCGTCCTGCACATCGGACAAGGACCGAAGCAGCGCCAGGTCGGCCTCCGAGGCGTGGGTGGGGCACAGCTCGCCGCCGACGCAGATGTGCGGCACGAAGCGTGCGCGACTGCATCGCGGTGACATGGTCCTCTTCTCCGCCTAGAATTCTCTTTCTGTGCGAGGGAGTCGTGCGGAAACAGTAGGGGGAGGGCTCCCAGGGCTTTGAGATTTTTTCAGTTGCGCCCACACCGCACTTACGCACACGCAGCTGGGTGATCTCGCACTACTTCTGTAAAATCTCCAAACGTGCAGAGGCAAGAGATGTGAGAAAAACACATCACATCAATAATCAGTCAGTCAGTGTTACACAACATGTCACTGACACGACCCCGCGCCATCCCGCCCGCCTTCGCCATACAAAAAGATCGCAACGTATCGTCACTTATCGAGCGCCAACGTAAGGCATTCTGGCCCTGAGGGAAAGAAGAAATTCCGCGCGGTTTCCGTGCGAAGGCGCACCCCCAGGGCTGGGGCTCTCTTGCCCGCAACCCGATCCCGATCATCCGGCCCGCTGGGTGCGCTCCTCAGCTCCCCGGCCCTGGGTGTGAGGCTGATGACTGCACTCCAAGTGCTCCAAGTGCTGTCTGAAGCCGTCACAACTGGCCGCTTAAAATAAGATGAGATTGCCAGATGAGAATGGGGGGAAGGACAGGCGGGCGACATTTGACGACGTAGCTCGTAGGGGGCCACAATGTGACGACCAAAACGATCTTGGGGGCCAGGGTGAGACAACAGGTCGGGGTGCCACATGGGGCACACCACAGGCGTATTCTAGAGGGGGAAAAGAAACGGGGAATGAGGGGCCCCGCCACGAGAAGTGCGTTCTGGGGATGCAGAGCGTGCAAGCGAAGGCGGCTAGGGATGAGGCCGCAAAAGAGGCGCGCGAGGCAAGGAGGAGACGCGGGGAACTGAGAGACTGGGACGACTGGAAACAAGAAGACAGCGAGCCACCACAGGCGTCGTTGGCGCACATACTGAGCGGCAGCTGCGCTGGAAATAAGGAAGAGGCGCGTTACTTCATGCGAAAGCTTGACAA